GCCCTATCTCCCAAGGAGGACAGAGGGATCCAGGAATAAAAAACAAAGTTTCCAGGTTACTCACTGGCAGGTTTTCCTACACTTTCTGTCATGAGAGGACCCTGGACCTCATGCCTGGGCTGGGGTAGGGGTGGGGAAGTTCCCCAGAGACCTGCCCAGCCCCGTGTACCCTGCTCACCCATGCGGAGCAGTAGCTGTCTATCCCCATCCCAGATTCAACTCCTGGGAGGCAGCTCTAAAGAGACCCTGGCTGAGGGTGGAGAGAGCTGAGGGGAGGGGCATCTCTCTGAGCCCCAGTCTGCATTTCCCAGCTGCATGTATAAGTGATGAGCCTCTGCAGGCGGACAGGAACCAATATAATAGCGGGTGCGTGGGGTCAGCTGGAGAGACAGATATCGGGGACGAAGGAGTGACAGGCAGTGCAATTATGCTGAGCTTCCTGCAAAGGCGACTGCAAAGACCCGTCTGGCCAGTATGAGCTGCAGACTCCCCTTAGGTTCCCCCTCCACAGGCCTCTATTCTTCCAGCCTCACCAGAAAAGAGGGAGAAGGCAGGAGAGCGAAGAAACTGGGACTTCTGAGCAACTCAAGAAGGGCTTCAGAGGATTCTGGGTCTAAGGATGGGAGGCTCGGGTAGAAGGCTTTTTTCTTATTCCCAAGAAGGATGACTAAAGACGAAGGATGACTTTCTCTGGCCTGCTGGGCAAGCCCTCTACCATTGAGCTCTATTCCTGATGTTATACCCTCAGCCCACTTTTTTGATTTTTATCTTGGGACAGGATCTTGCTAAAATTGCCCAGGCTAACCTTGAACTTACTAGTCTCCTCAGCAGTTGGGACCATAAGCCTGTGTGTTATCAAGCCCAACTCAAAAGCACCTCTCTTTTTAGGAAAACCCTCCCTGCTTGCCAACAGGCACAGACCTTAGGATCTACAAGTCTTAGAGGCCTTTCCATTCACAGACAGGGAAACTGAGTCCCAGGGAGGAAGGGTTGGTTTGTCCAAGGTTGCAGGGTCAGTCCGAGGAAGAACAATGGTAAGTCCCTGACACACTTTCCAAGATGTCACCAGTAAGAGGCTCAAGAAGAGAAGAGGCAGATAGAACACCCGTGAGTGGTCCACACAGACCCTCTGAGAGTGGTAGTGGAGGGTGGGTTTCAGGGTGGCAGCTGGGTGAGAGGCCTGGACCGATGGATGTAGTAGTATCTTTGGAGATCCCAAGTCAAACAAAGTTGGAGGCAGCATGGTCCTCCTGTTTGCTGTGTTCAGAACGGGTCTCATCTCGTTTTGAAGAGGGGGATATGAGGACCATGGAAATGAATAGTCTCAGACGGCAAAGCTGGCAGACAAGCGGAGCTGAGCAATGGGCACACAGTACATGTTCATCAAATGGAGCCCTAAACAGGGATGTCTTCGTGGACATGAAGTCTGCGTGGTGCTGTGAGCCCTGCATTCAGAATAGACTTGACTTGAATCTTGTGTGATGCTCTGTTGTCGCCACCCTGAAATCCCTGCCAGTTTTTGAACCAACACGATGTTTTCATTTCCCACTCGGCTCTGCAAAGAGTCTGGCTGGTCCTTCCCCTAAAGTAGAAATATAGTTTCATCTTGGAGAGACTATACTGTTCCCTCCCTGCTCCAACACCACCCCAATATGCCAAAGTGGAGGGGGACACAGACCTAAGAAAAACCAGTATTTAGTGAGCTTCCTGGGGACTCCGCCCTACCATGGCTGACCATGTATATATTGGAAGAATTGACACAATGTCCTGTCAGCTTCAAGCTCATTGCATTGTGACTGCCAGTGTTCCACCCCTAGCCCAAGGCCAGGGATATACATGAAATGGGGGCACTGGACATTAGACTCCTGGTCCCAGCTGGAATTTTCTGTCCTTTGGGGAAATGAGATATAACCCCTCTGCTTTCTCCTCCCTTGGCCTCCTGCTGGGATGGAAGGAGTTGGTGTGTGTGTATGGTGGGGTGCTGGGAGATTAATTAGCAGCCATGCCAGGCAGCAGGCAGCGGGGTCCAAAGTAGGCTGACTTTCCCCGCTGCAGATCCATGCTCTCTGGGAGAGGCACTAGCCGGCTGCTTTGGGCTCTGGCTCAGCTATTTTAGGAATAGTCTTAACCCTTCCAGAACCGCTGCCATTGCCAGATCTCTCTTCCAGAACACAGGCCAGCTCCAGATTTTCCCTCCTTTCTGTCCCTCCACCCACAGCCTCTGCTCTTCCTCCCTACAAGTTGAGAAGGGTCAGGGTTGAGTTTTACCAAAGAAAACTCCTGGCTCCCGAATCCTGTTCTCTGCACTTTACCTATCCGAAGTTCTGGACTACAGAGAGTGATCTCTTTGAGAATTTTCTCAGCTCTTCTCATCTTACTAGCTGGGAACCAAATTCTGGTCCTGTTAGAGCAGGAAATGAGCCCCCTTCTCATCTTAAAAAATGAGGAATGGTTAGACCTGTATGTCAGAGAGTAAGATGAGAAGCCCCTGGGCCCTCTGTACCCTCTGGCAGAGCACAGCCCCTGTCTGCTTATAGAGGTCCAGTTGGGTGACTCATACAAGCAGCCAGGAACCCTCAGAGTCACCATGTCCTCCCGTGCCTACTTTTAAATTTTTCCTTTCACTACAGGGCCTTGAAAACACTTAAGAAGTACAGGCATTACCTGGGCAAGGCCAAAGGGGAGAGGGGCTCACCAGTCAGGAGTATGAAATCATAGACAGCCTATATTGGATCCATACTGGATTTGTTTGAACCGGATGGCCTGGATCATTTGAGAACTGAGATATCAGATCTTGAGCAGATGCCTTCTGCCTCTAAGAAGTGGAGTCTGCTGTTCAGCACTTGTGGGAACATGGGGGATGCAAGCTGGGTGTGGTGACCATGTCTTTGTTCCCAACACTGATGAGGCAGAGGCAGGCAGGTTTCTGGGAGTTGGAGGCTAGCCCAGTTTACATAACAAATTCTAGCTCAGGCAGAAAAAAGTAATGGGGATGCCAGGTATGGACACAAGCACAGCTATGATTGATGGACTTGGGAGGCAGAGGCCCAGAGGATCGTAGGTTAGAGACCAACCTCAGCTATGTAGCACATTCAAAGCAGCCGGACCGCTCCTATGATGCGCCAGGGCCTGGGGTGTGTCCGGCACTGTGCTAACTAGGCATAGACATGGAGAATTAGTGTTCTTTCTCTGTCTGGGAAAAGGTTCTCACCTCTCCAGTTCACCATGATTCCTGAGCACCTACCGTCGTAGTGTATGCAAGCTTGGGTTTGTAGGTCCTCCTCCTTCACTCACTTCCAGCCCAGCAATAGAAGTGATAGAGCTGGTTGGAATAGAAAGTAAGACCAGCTGAAATGCTCTAACCTGAAGAGAGGCGCTCCGAGCTGCATGTCCAGCGGCCTCCTCTAATCCAGACCATGCCTGGACAGTGTCCTGCAAGGACCTCTTGGGTGGGTGGGTGGGGTTGTGTTATCTAAGATGTCAGAAGACCCTTTCCTATATCCCAATTGAGAGACATGGGTAGGTGCAGGGGCTATAAAGCCCCTGTTAGATAGGAGTGGGGCAGGCTTCCTGATTCAGAGCTGTGGCTGATATTTCTAGATCTGCAGGGGCACTCGGGCTAAGCTTTACAAAGTTAGAAGCTGAACTCTGGAGTCCTGAACACCTGTCTCTCCACAGCAGCCGAACCCTCCCTCCTGTGGTCCTCGCTTGCCAGATCCCCCCCACCCGCTTCCAGCCTGGGAGCCCCAGCTGGCACAGGATGTCTTGCTCCTCAGCAGCTGGGATTTGTAAATATTTATAGGAACACGAACAGATCAGTGGCTGACAGGCCCAGGGAGCAGGCAGGGGCTCTGCCTGCAGCTCGGCAGCTTCCTTACTCTCTGGCCTGATTTGAGAGAGTCCAGGATGACAAAGCGGGTGGTCAGGAAGGGTGTGGGGCTGGCTGGTTCTACGTCTAGAGATGCCAGCCGACAGGGTGCATCTTCCCATCTGTCCGGAGCTAGGTTTCCACACTTAGAGTCATCCCTATCCTCTGTCCCCACCCACCCCACCCGAGGGCTCACGAGGCCAAGGCCACACTCACGCCCAACTCACACGTAAAGACTTTCACTTATACTCTTGTGTGTGCTTGTTCACGGTAACTCCCATGTCTCCACAGATGCTCTCAGGCTTGTGTCTTTGCACACACACCAGCTCACAGTCACCTATGGGGTCGGGGGACTCAAGTTCCAGTCACTTCTTATGGTTTTAATAGAGGTTCCTGGAGGTGTGTGTGTGTGTATGTGTGTGTGTGTGTGTATGTGTGTGTGTGCTTGCGCGCGTGACATGCAGGCGTATGGTGTGTAGTTAATGAGTAAGGAGAAAAGGACCAAGGACCATTTTGAGTTGAGGTCAGTCTGGAATGGAAGGAAGAAACAAAAAGCAAGGCAAAGAAATGGAGACTGCCAAGGGCTGAAGCAGAGGAGGCAGGAACCAGGGACTGAGCCCCCTCCCCTCCCCTCCCCTCCCCACATGAGAATCTGTCACATTGCTGCTCCAGTGGCCTGTAAGACCAGCACAGCCCCAGCTGGAGCCTCTCCCCTCTGGATCTTGTCAGTGTGGCTTTGCTTTGCTGCTTGGGCAGCCGGGAGTGGTGACAAGCAGGGAGACAGCGCCCAGGGCGTCTGACTGTGCCACTCCAGCTTGACTGCCAGCTCACCCATCAGTGCCCATCTTGTCACCGAAAGGGACCCAGATGAGACTAGAGATCAGCACCGTCCTTACCTTGAAGGGATGTGTCAGGAAGAAAGCAAGAGAGTCCCACTCCCCAAAAGACAGACAGTGTTAATCAGACCTTGCCCAGGAACCTGGACTCCCAAGTGGGGTTTGGGGAGCATGGAGCATCTATCTGTGTCCAGGACTCCAGAACCCATGAGGCAGGACATACATAAGGAAGGGAGCACAACAGGCCTTTAGTGGGAGGTGGGAAGGAAGCCACTGTGAGGAGGAGCCTGACATGTTTTTGGCATAAACTTTTTATTTCATCTGCTTTATACCGCACAAGAATGATGTTCCCATACCCCATGCCCCTGGGTGCTGTGTTAAATAATCGTCCTCTCGCCTCCGGTCTGTCTGAGGGTATTAGTTCTGGGGCATCAATCAGTCAGTTTGTGCTCTGCAATCTGAGGAGAACCATTTCTATAAAATCAGAAAGGAGAAGGGGGGAAAAAAGTGGGGGAGAAGAGGACGCAGGGAAAATGGCGGCCACTGCTGTTTTCCTGCTTTCTGGTCATCAGTGTGGCTCTCCCCAGGTCCCGACGTCCTGACTGATTCATGCTTTCGCAGGTTCAGTCATGAGTTTATGCAACCACCGTTACTCACGGGCCCTGTGCTGTGTCTCGGAAACCGTGACAAAGCCCAGCAGGGTTCCTGCTTGCTTGGTGTTAAAAATTAAAGATGAGCAAACCACACAGCAGAGTGACTCCCCTGGGGTCGAGGGGCAGTGTCATAAGGCATAGCTTGGAGACCTGGACATCTTGTTCTTCTAGCTGAAGGCTTGAAAATGATCCAAAAGCCAGATGGAGTGTTGCCTGTCTGTAATACAGACGACACTGGAAAAGAAGAGGCAGAAAGGTAAAGAGTTCAAGGGTAGCCTGGGCTACGTAACAACAGCCTGTTTTTTTTAAGTTTGGTTTGATTTTTGTTGTCGTTGATGTTGCTTGCTTGCTTTTGTTTGTTTGTTTTTAAGATTATTTATTTATTATTAGTATGAGTACACTGTCTTCAGACACACCAGAAGAGGGCATCAGATCCCATTACAGATGGTTGCTGGGAATTGAACTCAGGACCTCTGGAAGAGCAGTCAGTGCTCTTAACCGCTGAGCCATCTCTCCAGCCCCTTTTGTTTGTCTTTTTTAAGGATTGGAACTAGTAAGATGACTCAGTGGGTAAAGGTGCCTGCTGCCAAGTCTGGTGACCTGAGTTCGGTCTTGGAATCCTCATGGTGGGAGGAGAGAACCGACCTCCAACTCCCACAAGTTGTCCTCTGACTTCCACACATGCTGTGGCATGCATGTAGTTGAGTGTGTGTGCACATGCACATACTTACACACACATACACCCTAAATGAATGTAAAGAAAATTTTAATTTTAAGAAGAGCGGATGGAGCCGGGCAGTGGTGCACACCTTTAATCCCAGCACTTGGGAGGCAGAGGCAGGCGGATTTCTAAGTTCGAGGCCAGCCTGGTCTACAGAGTGAGTTCCAGGACAGCCAGGGTTACACAGAGAAACCCTGTCTCGAAAAACAAAAAAAAAAAAAAAACAAAAACAAAAAAGAAGAAGAAGAAGAAGAAGAAGAAGAAGAAGAAGAAGAAGAAGAAGAGCGGATGGAGAAGGAGCTGTGTATGCTGATACTGTATTAACTGTCTGGACTCCCAGTATTTGGGAGATGGAAGATGGTAGAATTTGATGTTCAAGGCCATCCTTAGCAATACATCATGCTTAAATGTGTCTGGGCTTTATAAGACCTTCAGGGGGACTCAAAACACATGTGCGAAATAAATAAATAAGCCACAAAATAAAACGATCCAGAAACCTCTCTCATCTCAGGATCAACACTGCTCTACCAGATCTCTACAGTTGGATCTCCTGAGCAAGACACCTAGGAAAGGGAGCAAGAGTGAGCTGTGAGGGCCAGAGAACTAGCTCAGCGGTTAAGAGCACCGGCTGCTCTTCTAGAGGACCCAGGTTTGATTCCCAGCACCCACATGGCAGTTCACAACCATCTGTAACTCCAATTCCAGGGGATCCAATGCCCTCTCCTAGTTTCTTTGGGCAACAGCCATGCAAGTAGTAGAGAGACATATATACATACAGGCAAAACTCCACACGCATAAAATATGATGATGATGATGATGATGATGATGTGATGATGATGATGATGATAAAAGGACATGGTATGAATCTCAGCTTGAACTGTTATTGGTCAGGTGACTGTAGGCAAATCCTCCCTGTCTCTGAGTTGCTGCTTCTTTCTCTTTGAAATTTAGTAACTAGGATCCATTACGTGCTACCACAGTGTAAAGCACCAGAGTTAGTGCCTGGCACACAGTAGGGCCTCAACTAATACATACATCTTTGTCAATTGTCTGTAACTGCTGCATCTTCGATAGCCAGGAATTATGTGCCAAAGCTTGGGAAGCCAGGGCTGCAGGAAGACCCAGAATTCCATTGCACCAGCTACCTGAGTTTCATGCTGCTCTGAGTCTGACTGTTTTAACTGTGGGGTGGGGTGGGGTGGGGCTCTCATTGTTTGGGAGGGGATAGGTCTGACTTTGCTTCTGCATCCCCCAGACACTGTACAACACTGTTTCCACACACTGACTCCGGTACAAAAGGGGACTGTGTGTGTGACCTTTACAGGGAGGTGGTGATAGCTGTGATGGCGGCGATGCTGGTGGCCGTGATGGGACTGGTGAGGACAGTTTTGGAAGTGTCACTGCTGCTGGAGGAGATGGTGGGGGAGGTGACAGTAGTGAAAATTCATTTCAGAATGCTACACTCAGATACATTTCAGAGCTAGAAGAAAGCTTGGTTTCAGCTAAGCCCCGAGGGCCTACTGTGTGCCGGGTCCTGTGGTGTTTGCTTCATTTTTGCAGTGTTGCCCTGGGAGTACCATCTCCTGCAGATAAGAGCTGAGTGCTGCAATCCCAGCAGTCAGAGGGAAGAATCATGAGTTCCAGGCAAGCCTGGGCTACACGGTTAGACTCTGAATAAACAGAAGGTTGGGCTCAGAGCAATCAGGTGGCCTGCTAGAGGCATGGAAAGGTATGGAAATCCTTTGACTTCTAACCCATGTTTTTGATGTTTGTTTGTTTGTTTGTTTGTTTGAATTGATCATGTCTAGCCCTGAAGATGCTTAGCAGGCACTCTGCCACTAAATCACATCCCTAGCTACCTCTTCCCCTCTGGTGCCATCAGGTGCCATCAGAAAGCCACCTACCTGCCTGCCAACAGGACAGGAAATGGCCTTCAGGAAATGGCTTTAACAACTATTGCTTTCATTCTGCCTGCATTCTCTACCTCAGCAGCCTTCCTGGCCGCAGAAGTTGGGGTCCTACCAAGAAGCCTGGAAAGACCACAGGCCCATGGACCCTCACAGTCCTGCCAGCTCAGACCTCCTCAGCTCCTGGGCAGGCTCTGTGTCTATTGTTCTCCTGACCCGGTACACTGTCAAACCCAATCTCCCCTCTAGCCCCAGAGTAAGACTGACAGACAGCCTAGTTGCTGCCTGACCCATTAAGTGGATAACTCCCTTCCCAGATCTGACTGCAGGCCTCCCTTGGCCTAAACTCCAGGCTATAGTGGCTCTGAGAGGCGCGGAGGTAGGAAGACAAGGGTTGGCACCCCTCTTCCCTTGTCTCTAAAGAGCTAGTGATCTTGTTCTCTTTTCTGGTCTTGAACTTTAGCTTTTTATTAACATACAGACAGACAGACAGGCAGTTACAGTCAGCCTACCTGCAAGAGAATTGCACTGTATATAGTTGCCACCACCACCAGGAAGCCTTTGGGATCCACCCCATCATCCCAGCCATCTGGTCTACCTGCACCATTCTTTCCATGTCAAGGGATATGTGAGGATGGGTCACAGGGATGTTAGTGATGATGGTGATGGTGGTCACTGTGATGTTGACAGTGATGAAGGATGTGAGGGTGATGTAATAGCTCTCGGGTGGTCTGCACAGAGTAAGGAGAGAAAGAGATTGGTTGGTCATTATTGTCCCCCCACATCTTCAACCTGAGCTGTCAGTCCTGGAACTCTCTCCATAGCCAAGAGTGATCTTGAATTTACAATTCCCCTACTTGTGCATCCTGAGTGCTGGGTTACAAATATGGCCCATCACACTTGCCTTTCTATGTTTCTGGGATTGCCCTGGACTTGGTGTGGGCTAGGCAAGTCCCATTCCAGCAAAGTATATGCCCTGCCCCCACCCAGTTCTTCACTAGTAGCTGAGGTTTTTTTTTTTTGTGTGTGTTACCCAATAAGCACATAACATGCCCAATACTTTATATATAATAATTCATTCAATCTCCTCAACAACCCTATGAAGGAGGTATTTATTAGTATTTTACAGATATGTTTCTGAGACATGGAGAGGTTAAGTACCTTACTCAAGGTCGTACAACTAGCCCCAGCCCAAATGCTGGTCTCTAGTTCTGCCCTCCATCTCTGTTTTCCCTGTGGAGTATCTGTCGTAGGAGAGCAGACAGGTAAGCCCCAGAGCTACCTGGAGACTCGAGAGCCCTCCAGTGTCATGGGATTTCCAGGCAAATGTTATTCTTTCTCCCTAGGCGCCAAGCCTCTAACTCTCAGCTCTGATAGGGGGGCGGGATAGTGGGTTTGGGGAGGAGGACTGGCTTCCACAGTAAAGGCAAGGCTGGCCTTTGGGAGCTAGTTCACCTCAGAGCTCCAGCCTGGGGCTCCTGCTCTTGGGAGCTCCATCTTGCCGCCTCCCTCCCTCCCAGGATCTCATTATATCCCTAAGAGAAACTGACAGCCCCAATATCTTACTTTGCAAATATAGTTTATTCCTTCAATAAAGCCGCCTGCGCAGGGGAATGTTTAAGCCCGGGTCTCCCCGGAGAGCCTCATTTGAATTTCTAAAGTCTTTAGTCGGTTCCTCCAATGGGGCAGCTGGGTAATGAAAACGCAGCAGCCGCTTAGAGGGGATTCATTTCCTGTCTGGGTCTCTGCTGCTGAAGGAGTTGGACTGACCGGAGGGAGAACTGTTGTCTACTTGGAGGTCATGGCCCGGGCCTGAGCACCCAGCCCACCGGGTGGAGGCCCTGGACCATGCCCAGGCGAATGGATCTGTGTATGGGGGCGGGGGGGGGGGGGATGCAGTCTCCAACTCTCCTAGCCCAGGTCTTTCCTGGAAGGATCAGCTCAGGGACTCTCAGCCCTTCAGTCCCTCCATTGGGTCTCCCTGTTGGGGGGGGTCCCTCCATGGAGACTTCCCAACGACCCTTCCACAGGGTCCCTAACCAGGGCCCTCTTAGACAACATTTCTCAGACCAGGATTCTTCCCCAGAGGCCAAGCCCACCAAATCCCTGGAGATGAGGTGTCCTCTCTGGCAGGACCCCCTCACTCTAGGGCAGGCCCTATCCCAGGCCCCCTGGGAGTCTCTAATTAAAGGGCCGGCACGCCCCTCTGGGACTCATTAGGACCGCTGTGCAGTGAACATTTAATCATTGCTCAGAGCATCGATTGGAAAATCAATTTCTTTGTCTCTTCGCACGAGGCGCGCTGAAGAAGTGGGGGGGAGCGCTGACCTCCTTCTGCCGCCGTGTAAAGCGCTGCACATTTAATCAGGGAACAGAAATCAATTAGCCACTTACGAGGTTGGCTTTAGTTACCGAGTCGGCAAGGCCCGCCCGCGCCACAGCTCAGCCGCTGACAGGAGCGAATCTCCTCTCCTGCCCTGCTGCATGGCTCTGGCTCCCTGGATCTCTCTGGCTTCCTTCTTTCCCAGAGTGCTCTGGGTTCTCACCATCTAGGCAGACCCTCGCAGAACTCCAAACAAGTCCTGAGAAGAGACTCCCCAGCGCCCAGTCTCCTCTGTCACCTTCCTGTGCTCAGCTCTACCGGTCTCAAGAAGTCACACGGAGAGATTCACGTCTTCGTTTTGATCACCGGGATTCCATGATGCCAGGGAAGTAATTGTCAGCCTGCGAGCCAGCGTGTCAGAGACCTCAGGCCCACTTTACCCAGACAATGAGAATAACAGTGCCTGCCTCTCCAGAGCACTCTGGAAATCCAATGAGATCACCTTTGGGAAGTGCCTGCTAAGTAGTTTGAGCTCCATTCAAGAACCTTGAACTCACAACAACGGATCAGTATCTGCCCCACAGAGAAGGATGGTGTGAGCTGGGACCCTCCGACTACAGCTCGGTTTCCTTCCAAGACAAGGATAAGCGGGTACAGGCCCCCCTTTCATTTTCTCCACTTCCCCACTGTCTTAAGGGGGGGTCACCTCGGAACCAATTCTCCTTTTGGCCGCTCCCTCACCTGCGAGTATGCCCCCTTCCCCCAGCTCCAGGACTACAAGCATTCCAGAGATACCTCACGTAGTCGAGTTACACACACCCAATTACACAGTTGTACACAGACTGCACGCCCCATTACACATAGTTTCACAGAGTTGTTCCTACAGTAAAATCCCAGGCATCCGATGCCCACGTGAGGCTGTCCTTATTCCCCCTCCCCCTCCCCCACTCCCGCACGGGCCTGGTGTCACAGACCCAGGCTCACCTTGGTCTCCCCACCACACAGTGTGGCACACTGGTGGCGCAAAGCACCCTCCCACAAGCCGCGCATATCCACGAGGCCTGGCACACATTCGTTCCATAATAATATTAGACATGCCATTTCTTTTGCGTGACAGTTCCACTGGAAGAGCTCTGAGCTGTCACTCGGATGAAAAATAATGCATAATCCTCGTCTTCCTTCCTTCCCTTTCCTTTCTTTCTTCCCTGTTTAATGAGCTCCTAAAAATATTCCTTGCTGTCTCGCCGAGGATGTGGGCTAAGTGTGAGTCAGGTCTCTCTTCCCTCTCCCCGTCCCCTACTGCCGTCCCCTCGGCACCCTGAGTCAGGTGTGGAGGATGAAGGATCACAGTGAGCTGCTGTGCTTCGCCAAGCCCAGGTCAGGTGTCAGGGCAACCACCCAGGCCTTCCAAAGATCTCAGATTTGGTACCTGCCCTCCCCTGACTGGCCCACCTGAACAGGAGATCAGAGGCACGAGACACAGGTGGGGGCAAGCAGAAAGGCGATAATCACTCCCCGCTCTCCTCACACCAATTAGCTTCTGACCCGTCGTCCGACTAACTCCATCCTTCATCCCTCTACCTCAGAAGGGATCTGACACTATAGAGGTGCCATCTCTTCTCCACCTCCTAATATTCCTGCCCCCCCTCCTCTCAGAACTCAGGGGACAGAGAAGAGGGGCAGTCAGGGCCTCTCTGAACACCCAGCTTTTTCCAGCACCTTCCCTTGGCCTTATTGGAAAAGTCTCAACGGCCATGTTTTCCTTGATTCCATCCTTTAAAGCCCAGATCGACATCAGCTCTTCCCTGAAAGCCCTCCTGAGTCACACAGATTTTTGGTCCCCTATACATGTCGGTATACGTCGATGAGTTTGCTGAGGGGATGTAATTGTGTGTGATGGTCAGTGAACACCTTTTCTCTCTGAGGGACTTGCGACCCTGTTTGGTTCCTTTGTCATCCTCACCAGACACCAGATCAAAATTCTTGCAGCTGCAGACTGGGACCATTTCTTGACTGCCCAGCTCTGGCTGAATCTTGTCTCTTAGAATAACAGAACAGTGGATAGGTATGTGGAGGAGGGGAGGGAGGGAGGGGGGGAGGGGGGGGGGGAGGGGAGGTAATGGGGAAGGAATTTAGGGGCCTGAGTCAGGCGCCTAACTGCTCCCACAGGTTCTACCCAAAATCACTATGATTTGGAGAATTTGAGGTCCGCTCTTGACCTCAGTTTCTCCATTTATAAAATGGGAGAGTGCCGGGCAGTGCTAGCCCATGCCTTTAATCTTCGTGCTTGGGGGGCAGAGGCAATTGGGTCTCTGTAAAAGTTCGAAGCCAGCCTGGTCTACAGAGCTAGTTCTAGGACAGCTAAGGCTACACAGAGAATCCCTGTTTCAAGAAACTATAAAAAAAATAAAGTAAAATAAGAACAGGAGAACAGGGTCAGATGGTGTCTGAGATCTCATACAACTCTGACAATCCTTACTGGGTAATTCAGCATAGTGCTCAGAGTAGATGTGTCTGCCTTTCTAGCATGTTATCCTACTATGTGCAAGAAGCCTCCTGTGCTGAGATATATTATTCTGTGGGCCTTCCCCAACCTCCTGCTTGCCTCCACACCTTCTATGCTGCCTTCCAGTCTCCCTGTTCCACTGCTGGGCTTTCTGTTCATCTGTCCCCTTACTGTTTTCTCTGGGGTTGCATCCTGCCCATGAGTCCCCTGGAGCCTGTTCCTTCCACCTGCTTTGCTCGCCTCCCTCCCCAGTCCACCTGTACTGGAACCCCCTCCCTGTGCACCCCCCTGGCTCTCCCCAGCAGCTCCAGTCCCGAAAGGTTAAGCTAATAGCAACTCCTTTCTCATCAGCTGTTCTTGTTTGCTCTACATAATTGCTGTAGAGGGGGGCTGGCGGGAGGAGCCCTCTGAGTGGTGGTAAAGAGTATGGGGAGGGGCTCGTGTAGACTCAGCGGACAGGGGGGACATGGGAAGGGGACACTTGCAGAAAAGGGATGGGAGGCCGTGTGGGAGCTGAGGACGTTGAATTAACCAGCTGTGGTATAGTAGTCACCTGAAGAGGGAGGAATAGAGCCCAAAGGAGTATCAATGACAGCACCACTCCTGGGAAGGAAAATACCACCAGCAATGGCTGTCAGTAGTATTTTTAAGTATGGACTGTGAGACAAATGTTGCCTGGCTTTATATCATCATCAGATGTTTGCACTGGTCTCGGGAGGGGGATTCAGTCTTTGTACCCACGACGTCTTCTTCTTGTGCCCATTTTACAGAAGACAAAGGCTCCAGGAGATAGAAGCTACTGGTTGCTAAATGGCGGAGCCTCGGAGATTATTAGCATGTGCCATCACACCCATCTCAGACAATGGTGGTGCTGTTGCTTCCTCTTCCTCCTCCTGTTCTTCTTCCTCTTCTTTTTCCTCCTCCTCTTCTTTTTTCTTTTTGAGACAGAGTCTTACTATGTAGCTCCAACTGGACAGAAATTCACCATGTAGACCAGAGAACTCACAGAGATCTATCTGCTTCTGCCTTCTTAGTGCTTGGATTAAAGTTATGCACCACCATTCCTAATCACCCTCTTTTAAAGGCAGGTTCTCATGAAGCACAGGCTGGTCCCAAACTGGCCAGGCAAGGATGACCTCGAGCTACAGATCCTCCTGCTTCTACCTCCCAAACACTGGGATTACAATGAGCACCACCAGGCTAGGCTGGACACCACTGTTAGTCGGAGAGTGGGACGCACAGGAACCTAGAAGGCAATTAAGTTGAACCCATGTCCAGAGTGACAGAAGGAAATGAGCATGTCCAAAGTCACATAGGAAATTATTGTCATGAGTATGCTTACTAGTGATACAAAGCAACTGCTCATCTTCTGAGTCTTGGTCACCTTAGGGATGCCTATGGTTGGGGTTGTCAGAGTGAGGGGTGATGGGACAGACAAGGCATACCTCCCAGGAAGTAGAGTGTGGGGCTAGAGGGTCATGACATGCACGGTTGAGGAAAGACATCTGGAGAGGTCCACTCTCTCTGCCAGGAGCAGCAACCATGGCCTCCTTCTGGGTTGAGTGCTTTTAATAATTCATCAGGGACAGAGCAGGGGACACACACACACACACACATACACACACACACGCAACAGTGGGGGATAAATTAGGTCCGCACTGGAAAGTTAGAGGTAAGAAGCCAGCTTGTGTCTTCTCAGTGCATCTCAGTGATGCCTTGGAGGCTCCCCTGACCTCCACATTCTATCTGGTCTCCCCTCTCAGACCTGGTCTCCCTGTCCCTCTCCCATCAGGACACCTTGCCTCTCATCTCCCTTCCCAAGCAAAGGTCACAGTCTAAGGGCAGGCACACTCTAAGGCTCCTTGAAGCAAAGTCTATGCCTCCTTTTCACAGTGGGGCTCCTAAGAAAGGAATAGACCTCTCCATCAGACTGGACATTTGTCTAAGGCACAAATGGTGTCTCCTCTGTCAGACTAGCCTATGCTGCTGTGCTTTGGCATTGACTCCACCCTGAACTCTCATCCTGATCCCAGCTCTACCCCACCTCACAGCATTGAACTGGCTGGTCTCCCTCGCCCTGTCTCATCTGGTCTCCCTTCCCTCTGCCTGCCTGTATCCCCATCACACTCCATCCTAGCAGCTATTCCTTTACAGTTCATGGTACCCCACACCTAGGAGGACCTGGCCCTTTCTCATCATCCATGCAGTGAATAAGATCTCTATGACAACATATGGTGGGGCGGGGTGACTCAGAAGTCACCTTTCTCAAGAGGGGACTGCTCAGCTTTACTGGGACAACTCCAGCTCAGGGCACTCCCTGCCAGTCGAATAAGGAAATGGTCTCTTTTTGGAGGATGACCAACTCTCTGCAGAAACTGTCCCCATGGGAAGCTAGGCTACCCTGTGATGTTCATGTAGGCCTGTAATGTGCCCAGGGCCAGGATGCTGTATTCAGCTACAGCTCATTGCTTACCACAGCCCCCCCAAGTCCTCACAAGTGTAGCTCATTGCAGACTCAGGTACATGTCCCCACCTCCCGCACGCCCTACAGGATGTGAAAGACCAAGTGTTCAGACATCTCATTGGTATTCTGAGTGGCCAAGCCATGCCATGCCTTTCTCTGAAGGACCTTCATCCTCTCTGTCAGGTCCACCTTTCAAAAGTTGTCCAAGGAACATCAATAGTGGGAATCAATTC